GTTAAATGCGCATTGATGCTTTGTGAGATGGCCGCAGAAGTTTATGTTGAAGGCATATGACCCCCCCCCCCATGTTTGTTCCCTTGAAACCCCACCTAGCGTGGAAGGGCAGCTGGGGCCCTGATGGAGAGTAGATCCATCGAATGAAACCTCCACATAGAGGGGCAGTATATCTTTGGATGCACAGTGTTTGGCACAAACAGCTGAAGAAGCCATTGCCTCCCCATCCTGCACGTGAGCTTGCTGAGCACTAAACACACATGCAGAGCGATGCGCACAAGTATAGAAATAACCGTAGTTTCCCATTTGTAATGTATGGGAGCGACAAGCATCAAAGGATCGGGCCCCTTTTGCATAAGTGCACAGGGAGTGCAGCAGATCGGACAGTCAGATGTATGGGATGTGAACACACGAAACGGCCTTATACCAACTCCGACCCTTGGTCCATCACGGTCAGTATTGCCCACTCAGACTGGCAGCCGCTCTCCAGGGTCTCCAGCTGAGGTCTTTCCCATCACCTCCTGCCTGGTCCTTTTACCTGGAGATGCCGGGGATTGAACCTGGGGCCTTCTGCATGCCGAGCAGAGGCTCTACCACTGAGCCACCTCAAACGTTATTGAGCATTTCTCGCCCGCCCACCCCTGCTTTGGCTTCTTTCTACACGTAATCTGCACCTTTCTTTCTCCGCCTTTTACCAGTCCCGACGCTTCTCACTTTCTATAGCCAGGTCTCCTTTCCACCCCTCCCCTCCCTGGAACCCACACTGAGGCCACTCCTGGCACCGATTCCATTCTGCGCCAGCCCCAGAGAGAGCCCACAGCCAATAAATCACTCCGCAGAGCCAAGCAGGGTGGATAAATATTTAGACTGGCTCGGCTTGCTGGCATGAAGGGAACGAACTTTCAGGGGCTGGAAAGCCAGGAGATGAAGTGGCCCGGCAGCAGCGCTGGAAGCAAACAAGTTTGGGGTCCCAAGAGCCTGACTGCCTTCTATGTGCCAAAGACCACTGTGGTCCAGTGTTCCCTCTAAGCTGAGTGTGTGTGAGCTAGCTCACAGGTTTTTTTAGCTTCCGGCTCACGCATTTTTGCCTTCGCTCAGGGAAGACGGCTCCAGAGCAAACGAATGTATGCAGCAGCCAAATCGCTCCCTCACAACGTTGAGCCAAGCAGGGTAGATAAATATTTAGACTGGCTGGGCTTGCTGGCATGAAGGGAACGAACTTTCAGGGGCTGGAAAGCCAGGAGATGAAGTGGCCTGGCAGCGCTGGAAGCAAACAAGTTTGGGGTCCCAAGAGCCTGACTGCCTTCTATGTGCCAAAGACCACTGTGGTCCAGTGTTCCCTCTAAGCTGAGTGTGTGTGAGCTAGCTCACAGGTTTTTTTAGCTTCCGGCTCACGCATTTTTGCCTTCGCTCAGGGAAGACGGCTCCAGAGCAAACGAATGTATGCAGCAGCCAAATCGCTCCCTCACAACGTTCACGCCAGTCGCTCACAAAGTAGAATCTTTGCTCACAAGACTCCACAGCTTAGAGGGAGCATTGCATGAGGTCCCTCCGAGATGTACCAGGAATTCTTTTCTCTTTTTTTGCCCCCCAAACGGCAAATGGAGCCATCTATTACAGCGTCCTGTTTGCCACAGCGGCTAGCCAGGATTCTCTGGAAGGCACACACAAGGAGGGGGGGGCAGGGGGCAAAGGGAGGTGGTCGTTCCACTCTATTCTGCTATGGTCAGGCCTCACCTGGAGTCCTGTGTCCAGTTTTGGGCACCACATTTTAGGAAGGATGTTGACAAGCTCGAGCGTGTCCAGAAGAGGGCAACCAGGATGGTGAGAGGGTTGGAATCCAAGTCTTATGAGGAAAGTCTGGAAGAGTCGGGAATGTTTAGCCTGGGAAAGAGAAGGCTTAGAGGGGACAGGATTGCAGTCTTCACATATTTCAAGGGCTGTCATGTAGAAGATGGAGCAGATCTATTCTCTCTTGCTCCGGATTGCAAGATTAGATCTAATGGGTGGAAATGACAAGGGAGTCGTTACTGGCTAAATATCAGGAGAAACCTCCTAGCTGTAAGAGTGGTTGAGCAGTGGAACAGACTGCCTCGGGAGGTGGTGGGTGCTCCTTCACTGGACGTTTTCAAGCGGAGGCTGGACGACCATCTTTCAGGTATGTTGTAGGTATGTAGGGCTATTTTTCGGCTATGCAGAGTGCAGGGGGTTGGACTAGGTGACCTGCAAGGTCCCTTCCAACTCCAACATTCTTTCCAACTCTAACATTCTGTGCTTCTATGATTCTATGTTGTTGCCTCCCTAGCAACTAGTATTCAGAGGTACACTGCCCCTGAACATGGAGGTTTCCTTTCGGCGCCGTGGCCAATAGCCATTGATGGACTTGTTGCCTTGCAGCAGAGACGCGAAGCCACGCTTTGCCCCTTTGGTCCTGCTGCCATCTCTGCTCAGGCAGGTATTTGAAGCACTATAATTTTAAACAAATTATTTATGCTATTTATAACCCACCTTCCTGACAGTGACTCACGGCGGATTGAACACAGCGAGTCAGTACGGTCGACAAATGGGACCATTCAGTAATCAGCGCATCCAGATTTTAGAAGTCTGGAGCCCCCAGAAAGAACTGGAGCACAGCATCAGTTCGGGATGCCAGCCTCCAGGTGGGGCCTGGGGATCCCCCAGAATCACAGCTTTCCAGACCGCAGAGATCCCTGAAGCAAATGGATGCTTTGGAGGATGGACTCTGTGGCATCGTACCCCACTGAGGTCCCCGTCCTCCCCAGGCTCCACCCCCAAATCTCCAGGAGTTTCCCAACCTGGATCTGACAACCCTTCCCCCCTCCCGTCCTGTTATGTACGCGGACCGCCACCAGGGGTCCGCGGCTACAGTAGGGAGCTTAGCTCCTCTAAAACAATAGAAGCCTAGGATCCTAGTTCCCCTAGCATTCACCAATAGCAACTTTGGCGGGTAATTCAAACCCTCCAACGGGACTGTGGGTGGTGCTGGGTGGGTGTGTATATAGTTGGCCTTGCAGGGCCGTTTAGTAGTTCCTGTGTAAAGTGCAATAAACACGTATCAACGTACGTCATGGTCCGAGTCTTCCATGCGTCGAACCCAGTACTTTACACATCCCTCACCAGGAGTCCAGTGGGACCTGGCAGCCCTAACATCCGTATTCATGTAACACTTTAGGCGGTAATGACATAAAATAGGACCCTTTTCACCCATTAAAAAATAATGGGATCTACCCGCCAAGTCTCCTGCAGCAAAATTACATCAAACGTCCTTTAAAAAATTACAGTTTCAGCATCCCTCAGTCTATTGGCCCATCCCATGACATTCCATGACATTAAAGAGATAATCTGTGAGTTGTTGTGTCCATCAAAGGAAGTTGAATTATGTAGTCAGTCAGAAGAAATCAAATCCAATTGGCCTGTTGGATCACTAAACACACATCCATTACTTCTAGCTTCCTTGTTCTTAAGAGGATTATTATCATGGATCTCATTGTTAGATTTCCCAGACATGTCTTCATTAAAATCCATCACAAGATCTGGGGAAGCAGAATCACTATTAACAGGAGTATTAGGAGCGGTAAAAATTGGAGCCTCTCCTTATTTCCTTGGAAGTTACGACTTTGATTCCCCAGCAACAGGAGGTTAGTCCTCAATGTCTCAAGTCTATTAACAATCACAGCTTGGTCCTCTGTTGGTAAATTTGAGTAAGAGTTTATCAAATTATCCTCTACGGTATTGTCGAGATTCAGGCCCTCGTGTTTGAACTGCTGAGGGTGAATCCCTTCCTTTTCACAATAAGCAAAACATGGCAGTATCGGCCACAGTCCTTAAACATTGATCCAAGCAAGTGTGTGAAAACGGTTTTGTGCAGGGCAGCTCTATTGAAAGCCCCGCGGATCTGGTTGACCAGAGCTGAGCGTTGCTGCTTTTGCACATTGAAGGGTGCCAAACATTTTGGTTTAACGCCTCGCTCTTCTTCCCCCAGCTAGGCCCCAGCCTGAGTGCATTTTCTTGCATTCTTCCCTCCCTCCCTCTCCCCTTGTTTTCACCCTTCTCCTCCCCGCTGTCAACATCCAGAAGGCAGACTCTTTGCAGGCACAGACCTGCCTGTTAGCTTTTGAATCTCTGCACCGTGCCAGGAATGTTGAGGATATTGTATAAATCGGTACAAATAGAAGAAGAGAAGAGATTGGATTTGTACCCCGCCCTTCACTCGGAGTCTCAGAGCGGCTTCCAAACTCCTTTCCCCTCCCCCTTCCCACAACAGACACCCTGCAAGGCAGGTGGGGCTGAGAGAGGTCTTTCGAGGACTGCTCTTTTAAGAACAGCTCTGAGAGAACTTGTCACTGGCCCAAGGTCACACCAGCAGCTGCATGTGGAGGAGTGGGGAATCGAACCCCGTTCTCCCACATTAGAGTCCACGCGCTTAACCACGACACCAAACTGGCTCTCGTCCATACCGCTGGGAGCATGGCCCTCTTTGGTCCCCTCTTCTTGTTTCTGAACCTTCTGGAGACATGGCCTGCACATGTCCAGGCATCTCACCGCAGTGCACGAGGTCTGGAAACATGGCAAGCAGCAATCCCACGGGAAAGGAAATGTGCCGATTCCCTGGAATGGCATCAATAGCTACAGGGCATGCTATGCTTCAGCTCAATGCCCCGAAGATAACTGCAGGTCTATGAAAGAATCTGTGTGCGCACATGCGTGTGCATACTCTCTCGGTTTCCCCATTTGCCTCATTCTGTTCCAGCCGGATTGATGCATCCGGCTAAATCCCGTTCCTCACCTAGGGTTCAGTTTGCAGCTGCCTTGACAGCTGTCCAGTTGTTTCCTCCCGCCCCGTGGGAGGGGAGACGGTGAGTCAGCTATGGAATGTACAGACTGAGTCCAAGGTCGTCCCCGAGAGAGAGGGAGGTCTGGTCAACACAGAGCCCAGTTCCCGGCCTCACAAGCCAAGTGTCAGCGATCCCTTGGAGGCCATGGAGAGAGAGCAGCCGAGCAGCCGGGGGCAGGATTTAACCCTTACTCAAAAGGCACCGGAGGGCAGAGCCGGTTCCCGCTATGTCAGTGTGATTTAAGCATTTGCAGCCAGAGTCTTTGGCCTTCTAGGAGAGCGTAGCCGGTTCCTCCAGCTTTCCCTTCCCAGAATATGCCTTATCCCCATTGGAGAGAGAGGCTGTGACTCAGTGGAAGAACCTCTACTCGGTATGGCTTTGTCGTCCTGGTTGTCAGCTGGCAGCGCGCACCGAGGGATTCACTGCCACAGGAAGTGGTGGCGGCTACAAGCATGGACGGCTTCAAAAGGGAATTAGATAAGCATATGGAGCAGAGGTCCATATTAGCCACAAGGTATAGATAGGGACTCTGGGGCAAGTGATGCTCTGTCTTCTTGGTGCTTGGGGGGGTCAGCAGTGGGAGGGCTTCTAATGTCCTGGCCCCACTGGTGGACCTCCTGATGGCACCTGGTATTTTTGACCACTGTGTGATACAGAGTGTTGGGCTGGATGGGCCTTTGGCCTGATCCAACATTGGCATCTCTTATGTTCTTATGTTCTTATGACCGTGGCAAATGGGGCGAAAGTGCTTAAGCTTGCTCTGCCCACACGTGCCATTTCCTTGGCCAGAAATGGTACCAGGATCCACTATTTCCTTACTGAGGAAGCTTGTGTGTGGTCATCTGTGTGTGTAAGTTTCCCCTTTGGGGAGGGGGGGGCGAATTGTGTCTCTCCCTAGGGACTGTTTCAAGTCTGCAAAATGGTGTGTGTGTGGGGGGGGTAGACTTCAGGCCCTTCCTTTTGAGATTTTTATTTTACTTTTGTGGGGCGCTGTTTTTTGTGTGTGCGTGTATGTACTTGCCTGCCTGGATGGCTGGATGGCCCTCTGACAGCAATGCTGATTCTGTGAACTCAGGCAAACCATGAGAAGGGAGGGCTGCCTCAGGGCTTAGTTCTCATGGCCCTTTCTTACATACCCAGGGAAGCACTGATCGTCACTTTGGGGTCAGGAAGCAGTTTTTCTCCAGGCCAGTTTGTCATCTGGAGGTTTTTTGTCATCTACTGGGCATGGAACAGGGGTCACTGGGGTTTGGTGGGGGTGGGAGGTATTTGTGGATTCCCTGCCTTGTGCAGGGGGTTGGACTAGATGGCCCTGGAAGCAGAGGTCATTTCGGGGGGGAACGCGGGGGATCGCAGTTCCCCCGGGTGAGGTACGGGGGCGGGGCACATGACAAAGCCCCGCCCCCTGCTTCCGGCCGCCCCGCTTCCGGCCCTCATTCAGCCAGGAGGGAGCAGGAGAAGAGGGAGGGTAAGTTGCTTCCTCCCTGCCTCTCCCCACCCCTGCCTGCCTGTGTGGCCTTATGACACACTTCCGGTGATGTCAGGGGGTGTGGCATATGCTAATGAGTTATGCTAATGAGTTCCCCTAGCTCTTTTTCTACGAAATGACCCCTGCCTGGAAGTCCCTTTCCAACGCTATGATTCTAAGTCATGACGACTTCTGGCAACCCCTAGTGGGGTTTGGACCTTTTCAGAGAGGTGGCGTGATATTGCCTGCCTCTGTGTCCCGGCCCTGGTATTCCTTGGAGGCCGCCCTTCCAATTGCTTGCCAGGGTCAGCCCTGCTTAGCTTCCGAGATCTGACGAGAATGGGCTTGCCTGGGCTATCCAGGTCAGGGCAAGGGGTTTTTTTTAGTACGTTGCCAGCATTTGAAGGGACAGAACGAGCTGCGGTGGCTCAAGCAGTTAAGACGCTGAACTGCAGGCTGTGGAAGGTCGGTAGTTCAGCAGTTCGAGACCCGAGTGTGCCGCATGAATGAGTGAGCTCCCGTCTCTAGTTCCAGCTCCTGCCAACCTAGCAGTTCGAAAGCGAGAAATTGCAAGTAGATAAATAGGGACCGCTTCGGTGGGAAGGGAACAGCGTTCCGTGCGCCTTGGTGTTGAGTCATGCCGGCCACATGACCACGGAAACGTCTTGGGACAGCGCTGGCTCTTCGGCTTTGAAACGGAGATGAGCACCGCAACCCTAGAGTCGGACTCGACTGGCTTTCGAGCAAGGGAACCATTACCTTTACTTCAGACAGAGGCTCAACAGATGCAACACTTCCTTTCCCTGTGCCGGCAAAACTTTTGGGCAAAGGGGTTAACTGATGGTCTTCCCCGCGGGAGGCTTTGCACAGAACAAACCAGGAAACCCTGGCGTGACTCCCCTCTTCCCTTTTCTCTTAGGAGGTGAAAATCTTCCGGGCCCTGATCCTCGGGGAACTGGAGAGAGGACAGAGCCAGTTCCAAGCACTCTGCTTTCTCACCCGCCTCCACCGCAATGAGATTATCCCTAGCGAGTCCATGGCCAAACTGCGACAGGTGAGAATGGAGAACTGGCATTGTGTTTTTCTTGAGGTTTCCTCTGTCTAGATGGGACAGGATCGAGCTCTTTGAGCGACAAAAGGCCTGTCTTTATTTGTTTAGGAATACTTCAAAAATTAATAAGCGATTGGGAAAAACAGGTCCTAACGGGCTTAATCAACCAATGCAATGTTTGTATTGATCGAGTTAATCTGCATAGTTTGGTGTAGTGGTTAAGTGTGTGGACTCTAATCTGGGAGAACCGGGTTTGATTCCCCACTCCTCCACTTGCACCTGCTGATGTGACCTTGGGTCAGTCACAAGCTCTGGCACAGCTGTCCTTGAAAAAGAGCAGTTTGTGTCAGAGTTCTCTCAGCCCCACCCACCTCACAGGGTGTCTGTTGTGGGGAGGGGAAGGGAAAGGAGTTTATAAGCCGCTCTGAGACTCCAAGTGAAAGGCGGTTTATAAATCCTATCTCTTCTTCTTCTTCTTCATAGCTAGGTGCTTTTGAATAACAGCTTCCTCTCGAAATCTGAAAGCAATCACTCACTTGCACAGAGAGTGAATTGTTCTTTGGATCCACAGATCACTGGATACCATGCTATCCAGGAAGGATAATCCATCGTCCATTTGGGAAAATCAAGGAGGCTTGCATGAAAGCGTAGAAAAGATAACATTCAAACCTACACAGCATTAGATTAAAAATGTGATCTGGAAAAAAAATAAACCTCAAGAAACAGCAGGTGTCGGGCGGGTTCAGACGGAACATGGAATCGTGGTCAGTTTTAGCAATGGTTGGCTTGCAAAAACAGGATTCACCTTGCAGAAGAAATCCTCGTTTTCTACAACAAATGTTGAGTCACTGCCCAGCTGTCGTCATAGCTGAGGGGAACTACAGATGGGCGGCCCCAGGGGAAAATCTAGGATGTCCACATTTGACAGGATGGCTGGTCAGTGCCTTGCAACTGGCAGGAGTGTTGTGGGGGGGGGCACAATATTGCGAGAGAAGAATGGAAAAAAATACAGCTTTGTGCACTTGCCAGAAGTTAATACAGGAAGTAACAAAGGGTAGCTTTAGGATATACTGGAAACTCTATGGTGAAACAGTTGTGTTTGTGGCAATTCCTAGAGCTAACCTTTGTCACTTCCTGTATCAACTTCTGTGGAGTACATGAGGCTGCTTTTTTATTTCTTCCTTTCACAGTGCCTGGGGGTATGAGATCTCATGTCCCAACCAGGGGCTTGGAGCCCTAACATTCGGGCATCACAGAAAACCATAATTAAGACTAATTTTGGTTAATAAATCAACTTCCAAACATCATTTGTGGGGGCGGGGGGCCCAAGAGAAGACCATAACGCTTTATTGATGAGTCACTTTTTTTGACTCATTCGTGTTAACAGCAAACAACTGAAAGTGAAAGCCGGCCAGACTCTCAGCTTTTTCTGTGTGTTCTCCCTTGGTAGAAAAACCCCCGAACGGTACGGCAGGCAGAGGAGGTGCGCGCCCTCGAGCATCTTAGCATGGACGTTGCAGTCAACTTCAGCAAAGGGGCTCAGCTGAGCTCACACATCCACAACGTCTGTTCGGAAGCCAAGGAAGCCATTTACACACGGGAAGAGGATGTGAAGTTCTGGTTGGAAAAAGGTAGGGGGCGCTGTGTCTGTTGGGAAAGGAAGTTGCCAGTGAGCGTAGTTCGTCCATTCCATCACTCAGTCGGCGCGTTCCTGCTCCTTCCTTTTCTTTTGCAGATTTGTCTCCTAATATTCTGCAAACTTGGCTTGCCACGTTCTGAGTATGGCATAAGACAGGGGACACACTAGGGTTTTCAGGCCAGGCCTGGCAACTAGTGGGAGACTGTTAAGTCGCTCGCTTAACAAAGAAGTCGGAGAGTGATTCAGCAAGAACACAGCTTTATTCTTCAACTCGAACACAACTCCAACACGGATCAACAACTGATAGCCAGAACAGCCTTGACATTGCAGCTGTCCTGCTTTTAAACATTCCCGGCTAATGTAGCCACACCCCACTGTACAAATACCAACCAATAAGGTTGTTCACATAAGGACCAATCACGGATGTTCCCGCTCAGGGAGCTTGCTAGAAGGTGATTGGTTAGGTGCTTCCTGGGCTAGTAACACGATTGGATGCATTTGGATCCTAGCCCAGGACGAAGCTTTACATTACACTTCAATTAGATGTTTCACAACATATCATGCATTCAAGGCAGCTTTGAATACAC